TTTGTATCTGTATGTGTGTCAGTGTTCGTATATGTGTGTCTGTGTATCTGCATGTGTGGCAATGTTTGTATATGTGTGTCTGTGCATCTGTATGTGTGTCAGTGTGTATATCCGTATGTCTGTGTATCTGTATGTTGGTCAGTGTTTGTATCTGTGTATCTGCATGTGTGACAGTGTGTAAATCAGTGTGTCTGTGCAACTGTATATGTGTTATTGTTTGTATCCCTGTGTCTGTGCATTTGCATGTGTCCGTGTTTGTATATTTGCATCTGTATATGTGTCAGTGTGTGTATCTGTATGTCTGTGTATCTGTGTGTGTGTCAGTGTGTGCATCTGTATGTCGGTGTATCCGTGTGTCATTGTATCTTTGTGTCTGTACATCTGTATGTGTGTCAGTGTTTGCATCTGTGTGTCTGTGTATCATTTGGGTGTGTGTCATTGTTTATGTCTTTGTGTATGTCATTGTTTGAATCTGTGTGTCTGTGTATCTGTATGTGTGCCAGTGTGTGTATCTGTGTACCTTTATGTGTGTCAATTTTTGTTTCTGTGTCTCTGTATCTACATGTGTATCAGAATTTGTATTTTCTGTATCTTTATGTGTATCTGTGCTTATATCTGAGTATCTTTATGTGTGTCTGTGTATCTGTGTCTTTGTGTGTGTCTGTATCTGTATATGTGTCAGTGTGTGTATCTGTATGTATGTGTATCTGTGTTTGTGTGTCATTGTATCTTTGTGTCTGTACATCTGTATGTGTGTCAGTGTGTGTATCTGTATGTATTTCAGTGTTTGCATCTGTGTGTCTGTGTATCATTTGGGTGTGCGTCAGTGTGTATAGCTGTATGCCTGTGTATGTAATTGTTTGTATCTGTGTGTCTGTGCATCTGTATGTGTGCCATTGTGTGTATCTGTATGTATGTCAGTGTTTATAATTGTGTATCTGCATGTTTGTCAGTGTGTATCACTTTATCTGTGCAACTGTATGTGTGTCAGTGTTTCTACCTGTGTGTGTGCCTCTGTATGTGTGTCAGTGTTTGTATCTGTATGTCTGTGAATTTGCATGTGTGTTAGTCTGTGTCTGTTTAAATGCCTGCACTTTAGTGTGTGTATCTGTGTATCTTTATGTGTTTATGTTTGTTTCTGTCTATGTATCTGCATATTTTGTATCTGTGTGTCTGTATCTGTGTGTGTGTTTATGTTTGTATCTAGGTATCTGTATGTGTGTCTGTGTATCTGTGTCTTTGTGAGTGTCTGTATCTGTATGTGTGTCAATGTGTGTATCTGTATGTCTGTGGATCTGTGTGTGTGTGTCATTGAATATGTGTATCTGTACATCTGTATGTGTGCCAGTGTGTGAATCTGTATGTGTCAGTGTCTGTATACTTATTTTACAGCTATACTTTATAATAAACTTTCTCTGCAAAAGCCTTGTCAACTTGGACTGCATAGTGACTTTTCTCCAATTCAGATTCCTGGACAGTGACCAAGGATGTTATAAGTGAAGCACTTCTTTCCACCAGTGTCCGAATGGGAAAAGTATAAATATATCTTAAATAAACAAAGGCTGGTTAATAAAACCAAAGCATAAATAAAACAAGATGTTAAACATAAAAATGAATAGGACATTATCCATGTGTTTGAATTTAAAGAGCAGAACATTGCTCTGGAATGCTTTTCTCCCCATCTTATACTTCATAGATCAGCATTTCAAGATAAAGTATCCAAATAGCAAATGCCAAATAAGTCCAAATTGTTTCCAGTGCAAACTACCAGGTAAATAAGTAGAGTTCTCCTTCATAAACCCCCGGCCCCCCATCACCTTCCTTGAAGTCCTCATGTTATCTAGTAGCCATTCTAAGTGACAATATTCTGTATCTGCCAATTATCCTTCCTCTTTTCAACGCCCCTCCTTAAAGGAAAACATACTTGTTTTCCTGGCACTATAGTGCCCTGAGGGTGCCCCCACCCTCAGGGTCCCCCTCCCGCCTGGCTCTGGGGAGAGGAAAGGGGTAAAAACTTACCTTTCTCCAGCGCTGTGCGGGGAGCTCTCCTCTTCCGATCCTCCTCCTCTCTGCCCATTCGGCTGAATGCGCACGCGCGGCAAGAGCTGCGCGCGCATTCAGCCGGTCGCATAGGAAAGCATTTACAATGCTTTCCTATGGACGCTTGCGTGCTCTCACTGTGATTCTCACAGTGAGAAGCACACAAGCGCCTCTAGCGGCTGTCAATGAGACAGCCGCTAGAGGCTTTGGAGGAAGGCTTAACCCATTTATAAACATAGCAGTTTCTCTGAAACTGCTATGTTTATACAAAAATGGGTTAACCCTAGCTGGACCTGGCACCCAGACCACTTCATTAAGCTGAAGTGGTCTGGGTGCCTAGAGTGGTCCTTTAACTTTATTTTCTAATTTGAAGGCCTGAATGTACAATCTTTTCAAATCAATTCACATTTTTGGTTAAACCTTTAAATATATTTTTTCAAATATTAAAATATAGAAAAATGTATCAATATGTAAAAACCATAACACAATGTGGTACAGGAAGTCTTGGGTGCTGATTTTTTTTTCCAAAGTCATTTTTCAGTGGTTTGACAAATACAGGCTCTCCCTGAATCCAACAAACACCCTTGAGGACCTTATCAAAATGCATTTTGATACATAATCGCCACATTAAGCTTTATTGGTATGGTAGGGTTGTCATCCCTGGGCCCCAAGTGTTGTTGGCCTGCAAATCTCATAAGTCACTGCTCATCTATTGCATTCAAAGAATTTTGGAGGTTGAACTCCAACAACATTTGGGGACTGTAGTTTGTCAACTCTCATCTATTGTGCTTTGAGTGGTCCTTTAAGCATACCTCACCAACATTGACGATCTGAGAATCAGTAGGCCAGTGCGAGGTAAAGGGGGCAGACCAGTGATGTTATTATGTCACTAGTTCCTCCGCAAAATTGGTGGATCCACTTGAAAAGTTGGTTGGTCTGCCCAAGTTTATGGTAGGTCAGACTAACCTGAATGCTCGCTAATCTGCCTGTCCATCATTTAAGCCAGTCCACTGGGGGCAGATCCTGCAGGGAGCACTGTTTCAGTACCCTCTGCAGGGTTCTAGTGCCCTGAACATCTTTTGAAGTGCTCTTGCTATGCTTGTTGGGTACACCAGGAAACTAATGCAGGACAAGACCCATAAATCAGGACTGTCCTGTGGAAATAGGAAAGTTGGGAGGCATGCTTTAAGAAGCAATATAACAAATAATTGCATACAGCTGAAAGAGGGGCTCACTAAACAATTTCAGGGGCATATTTTGAGAGAAAGGCATCTTAGTCAAAAGGCTTCTGACTAGAGTTGAGCGAATCCGAACTGAAAAGTTCGGGTTCGTAACAAACATTACGTTTTTTGGACCCCGTACCCGAACACAGACATATCACTGTATGTTCAGGCTGGAGTTGTTCGGCGATTTAATGGCGCGTTTTTAAAGGCTGCAGGCAGCCAATCAACAAGCGTTTGACTTGTGTGCCCTTAGAAGCCAGCACAGCCATGCCTACTAATGGCATGGCTGTGATTGGTCAGTGTAGCATGTGACTCAGCCTCTATATATAAGCTGGAGTCGCATAGCGCCGCACGCACATGAGCTCTTATTAGTGCAGGGAGAGGATGCTGCCTCTGATAGGGACAGCTTAGGAAAGAATTCTGCAAACTAGAAGATTAGTGGGGTAGGGTGCACTTCATATCTGAGAGTCAAATAGAAGCGTCAAATACTGCTGTCACATTGCAGTTTTAAAAAGTCATTTTATTTTGGTGCTAAATAGTACATTAGTGGGGTGCACTTCATATCTGAGAGTCAAATAGAAGCGTCAAATACTGCTGTCACATTGCAGTTTTAAAATCTTTGAGGGTGCTAAAAAGTAAATTAGTGGGGTGCTCTTCATATCTGAGAGTCAAATAGAAGCGTTAATTAGTGCACTTACTGCTCAGTTGTAAAAATTCTAATTGTTTTGCTGCTAATCTGCTAAATAGTACATTTTGGGGCCTGCTCTTTATATATGAGAGTCAAATAGAAGCGTCTAATAGTGCGTTTACAGTGCACTTGTAAAAATTCTTATTTTCTGGGTGCTAATCTGCTAAATAGTACATTTTGGGCATGCACTTCATATCTGAGAGTCAAATAGAAGCATCTAATAGTGCTCTATTCAAACCAGTTATCAATAGCTAAGAGGTACTTAAACAATATTGTAATTCTGGGGCAATACCCTCACAAGTCAAACTGAGAGGTCAGTTTATAGGGAAAACTGTTGCCTGGATACAATTCTAAAACAATTTCCATATGACCTTTGCAGACTTTACATGCTGGAAAAACACAGGTGCCAACTGCTGTGGCTTTCTGCAGTGTGCATACCGGCAAGGAGGGCAGGGTTGAGGAGTGGGTGGAAGATGATGTGGAGGATGATGATGTCCTAGACCCCACATGGAATCAAGGTCATGCGAGTGGCATGTGCAGTTTGGAGGAAGAGGCACTGGTCGCACAGAGGCACCAGCACAGCATAAGAGGGAGCAGGGTGCAAAAGCGGAGCAGCCGTCCCCTAGCGCTTGTCGGCATGTATTAGCTCAAGAATTACCAGTTATCCAAGTAATACATGTAGCGATCAAAGGATCCATAATAGAGTTGAGCGAACCCGAACTGCAAAGTCATCACCAGACTGATCCGCAACTTGGAACAGGATGTGACATTCACTGTAGCGGCTGTGCGCGCTTTTGGCATTGTCACTCTGCTGCTGCTCGCCTGTCTGCGCTGCAGCATAACTTTGGCCTTCCCGCTCACTGCCTCATATGCGACGTGCCCACAAGGTGGAACTCCACCTTGCACATGCTGGAGAGACTATTTGAGCAGCAGCAGGCGATAGTGGAGTTTCAGCTGCAGACTTCCCTCCAATTGATCAGAGTTAAAGGATTTCAAGTGGACTCATTACAATTACAGGGCCTCTAAAGAGTCTACTATTGTTATTTGTCGTCAATATATTCCCGCGTGGGAGTGGGTCATTTGCGCGCCTGCTGCCTTCCTTACATGTGGTAGCCGTTTCTCAGGGTCCCTGTACGGAATGAAACCCTGATTCCCCGTTACCCATGGTCACCATGGTAGGCGCAGAAACTGGCATCGAAAGTTGATATGGATGACATCCGAATGCAAAGTCGCCGTCACGGGGATGTGCGATTGGCTCGAGGTTCTCTAGAGTCAACAAAGTGCCTGAGCAACTATAATGTCAACAGCTACTCTGTGTCCCAATTAAAAAAAATAAAAAAAAAATATATATACCTCCTCCTCCTCCACCGCTGCTTCCACCTAAACCGCCACGGTCACAGCCTCCTCAACCTATTGGTCACTTAGTATAAACTATGTACACAATAACAGAGGCTTGTGAAGTCCTTTTCTCCATGCATCAGGAGTTGAGCTCAGTTTAAACAATGAAAGAGAATACCCTGCACTCCAACCCTCTCTCAAATGGATAATTCTGGTGATCCTCCTGATAGCCATGCTTTAGATTTTGATTTATGTTCTTCCAAAGCTAAAATCAAAGATTCCATCTGGTGCTATTTTATGGCTCAGCTGTATTTTACATTTTTATGTTATTTTAAGTGATTTCCCTATCCACATTTGTTTGCAGGGCACTTGTCCTACTCTTACCCACATTTTACTTCCTTTTGCAGCCCTCTAGCCCTTTCCAGGAGTTTTTTAGAGGCATTTTTTACTTCAATGGGGTTCGGGGTCAAGTTCGAGCACAAACCTGGACTTTTTTTCAAAGTTCGGCCGAACCCGCCGGATCTGTACATCTAGGTGTCCGCTCAACTCTACTTCTGACCTCTGTAAATGTCTAAATATAGCAACAAGCAAAAATCACTTTAATCCATTTTGGACAAACTGTTACTGTATTTTACATCTTAGTAGAGGCACAAACTGTAAGTCATTGCAGTGTCAGGAAATGAGAGATGACATTAAACTGTAATGTCACTTTCAGGCTCACACCACAGATATGTAGAGAATCATAATCAAATCCAGCCCTTGCCACAACCCCATGAGATTGAATCATTATAAAGCCTTTTGTTTCTGAAGGCTTGTCAGGATGTACGGGAATAAAAATATCTAGATTTCCAGGATATTTTAATACAAACACAGCTCCTGCAGCACAGTACTCATGGGAATCCTAAACCGGTCTCTGTACTGTGTTACCCAGACCCCCAAGAAGAGGTTAGCCCCTTTGGGAGGCAGGCTAGTGATCCCTGGTAAAAAAAAAACTAATTAAACCATTTGCATTAATTTGATGTTACAAATTTACTGACAGTAAAAATTCACATGTATTAGGATAGATTAAACGGACATAGCTGAGAAATATTCAGAAGTGTGAATTATCTGGAATTTTATGTTAATTCAAAACAAATTTAAAAATGTAGCCCAAAAAATCCAAACTGAACAAATAGCCGACTTGTTGATCCTTTGCAATTTGTCTATTTTGGCCTCAAATTTGCATTCACTTTGAAGTCCTGACAATTCACGCATTAGTGAATAACCATCTCAATATTTGTATTACCTTTTCACAATGCATAATTTCTACTTTACCTATCAAAAAGTCTATAAATGGGAAACATCCATTTTTAGATATTATTTTCTGATGCCTATTTTTTTTTAATTGTTTTTATTTTTTATTATTGATTTACTAAGAATTGCTCACACCTTTAACACTGAAAATATTAAAGGCTGACAAAAAAAAGACCGTCTTCAACAGATGCCAAATTCCACCGGAAATGACCCACTGTTGTATTGCTAGGGCTGGGTTTCATGTCATGGAGACGTGTGCTTTTTATATCAAAGTTAAATGACATTCTCATCTCACACCCTGTTTTAATTTTCCTATTAGATAGGAAATGATTAGTTACATGGATCTGTGCCATTAATGTTTGTCAAACACATCAGGACTCTGTGGTGACATAATTATGCATACTAAATAATTCGATTTTAGCTGCTCACGTGACAGTGTCCCACTACATTATGAGACAATCATATGTATATTGCAACGAATTAACAAAAGCCTCAAACATTAGCAAAGCGTTTAAGTCAATAGTCATTTAGCTTACTGAATACAGTATTTCTTGCCTACTATGTATTTTCTATTTATACTGTGTTAATAGTTTGACTTATGAGTATGGCCATATTGCCCTTAACTGCCAACTTTGTGCAGTGGGGAAGAGCCTTCCGATATGGGGAATATCCAGTGAGGTAGCTTGCGTCAAAGATGATTCCCATAATTCACCTGGAAAATAGACAGTCTCCCAGCTGGCCCCCTCTATGGTGGACCATGTAGAGAGCATTTCTGAAGTGCTCTCTGCAGAGTCGTAAAGCCTGCTGCACAGCACAAGTGCATCTAATGTTGCGCTCATGATGTGCTGCCAGAGGAGAGTTCCAAAACCATTACGGGAGGACAGGACCGAGAAATCAGGACTGTCCTTCCAAAAGCGGAACAGGTTGGAGTGCATAATGTTTTGGAGCACAATTCAGACTTTTGGCCTCAGTCACAATCTATCGTTAGTTAATTATGGGCACGTTAAAATCCGCCGACGAGCTGAGACAAAAATGAAATCTCCTTGTGTTTTTTTCTTATTGTGTGTTCCTTTAAAATACCACACTTTGATTCAGAGTTGATAAACATTTTTTTAACATAACATTCCATTATATGTTTTGTACTTTATTGTGTGGTAACACTTTGCACTTAGCTATTTGCGCCAAAGACAATTTGTGCTTTAAAATACGCAGTATATGGAACTGTGAGAAGTAGTTCTATCTTTCGGCAGCATTTTTTCATTTTTCTCTACTGCACTTGATCAAGATTGCCCTTTTTTACTTTTCCAAATAAAATCTCATGGGATATACTTTTCTCAGTACCTTAGGACAACATCTTTATAGTTGTTTGCTCAATGAATATGGGCCCAGCTGTAAAGTCTGATTACAATCCTTTCAAAAAGATATATTTACAGGTTAACAGAGCCATTGGATATTTATTGAATTTTATACCAAAAAGAATTTGACGAACCTCTGAAAACTCTTTTCAACTTATTAACCAACACCTCAAAAATTAGCAAATGGTTTTATTCAGTTTTGTATTCAACAGTTTAATAATACACATTTCACCAATTATCATCACCATTGCACTGTAAAAAAGGGTTAAACAGGCAGGTCAGATCCAAGATGGATCCTTTTTGTTTTTCGTTAGATTAATTTTACAATCTCTGAGTATAAATCTTGAGATTAATGATGACAAGTGAAGTTAGCACAATTTTAAGCAAACGTCAATTTTTGATGGCTTTACCAGCCGAGAAATATTGTTACATTATTGATTAGTGATTGGGTCAAAAACACACAAAATAACAGCCAAAAATTAAAAAAGGCTAACAATTAATTACAGATGCAAGACTGTGATCAATAATTCATCAATATCAATCCTTTAGAAGCAGATTAGCAAACGCAGGTGCTCTCTGCTACATCTGAAAACAACCTCCTCTTCAGCTGATTTGGTAATGCGAAATTGAAACTTCCTTATTATCAGTAAAAATTTGAAAGAAGATGGGTTATCCCAGGTTTCTTCACTAATCAATACTGTCCAAGGTTGGTTGAAATTTACATCGATAAACACAGAAGTGTACATTTCACGTCATCAATTCAAGTTTTATGTCAAAGCATTTTAAAAAGCTCAACATAAAACCATGGGGCTAGTTCACAGACACCCCATACAATAAAACCAACATGCTAATCTAGTGTATATTTGTTCATAAATGTTCATAATCTCTCTGCTTTCTTGGATGGCCTTACTACATGTTCAGATAACATTAGATGTATCCCCCACGCCCCACCCTAGCCCAACTTTATACATATCGTGCAAACATAGAATAATTCAAAGTTCCATAGCACTCTACCCTAGTGTAATCTAAATATAATCCATGTAACTCTCCACACAGCCTGTATTTCTTTCATTGAAATAAGGAACTGTGTGCCAGTGCCAAGAAATGTGGTGTCTTGATGTCCTCTGTTTATGGATTCAGCATAACTAAGCGCCATTTGATAAAGTCTCCCTTCAATGTAGACTGGCTCCTCTACACGACCTTAGTCTCTCCACAATCTATTCTTATGCTTTCCAATCAATTATATTTGGTCTACTTTAGTCTGTATACATAATAATTCTTCATTTAATTTGTTCCTTTGCCTAAATATATTTATGTGCAAGAATGAAATGAAAGTGACACTATTAGACGGGAGACTTTTTCACTTAATAATGAATTATAGCAAATTGAAATCAAAATGATAAAACATAGGCTAAAATAACTGTCTAGACCTGAATTTTGCAATTTGATTTTTAATTCCCTGGCAAGTTTCATCTTGGAGGAATACCCAACCATAAAACCCTAGGTGGATTACCCATATGGTGGCCATCAGCAGTTTTTTTTTTTTAAATTTGACAATTTTTATTAATATTTTGTCATAATCCCGACATTGGTCGGGGGGGGGGGGGGGATACAGAAGAGAAGAAGGAAGGGGGGGGGGGAAAGCAGCAAGTATTATAATTGTCACATAGTATATTACATAGTATATTACATAGTCATACAGTACAAAACAGTTAGCCGAGACAGGGTGGGTATGGGTATTCAATATAAGCTTGTACTCTCTAAGGTCCGGGGGTCGACTCGACCCATATTCTAAACACAGCTCTACAGATTGCTCCCTTTGGGATTAATCCAGGCGATCCGATCTCCATGTGTCCCAGATCTCCCATGCCTTTGCGGAGGTATGGGATGGGGGCCACAATTTGGTGTATGCTCCTTCATATGCTCTTTGTTCTATCAGAGCGGCTAGTACTCTGGCGAAGGGCGGACATTGTTTAGATTTCCATGATCTTGCGATCTCTCTGTGAGCTGAGAGGAGAACGTGATATATAAGCTTCCTCTCGGCTCTGGGGGTTCCGCTCGGAAGAATTAGCGTTATATAGACTTGGGGCGTAAATTGCATATTAATGCCAATCAAGTCTTGCAGGAGCGTATGGACTTCCGTCCAGAACGGTTTAAGCTCTGGGCACTGCCACCAAATATGGAGGACATCTCCTCTTGCTAATCCACATCTCCAGCAGTTGGGAGAGCTATTTGGGTAGAATTTATTAATCCGAGTAGGTACCATGTACCATCTATAAACACCCTTGCGTTGTTGCTCCACTAGGGAAGTGGATGTGAGTAGCTGGTTTATGTCTTGGAATAAGATATTCCATTGTGTGGGGGAGATAGGCTCTCCCAGATCTGTATTCCATTGTTGTGCTACATTAGTATCAGGGAATGGAATAGAGTTAGCGATAAGTCGGTAACACATGGAGGTCGGTTTACATGCGAGTGGTAATGACCCGTTTATACAGACTTGTTCCCACACCGTGGGTTGTCCCATATCAGATTGCAATACCCTGTCAGCACTAGTTGACCTGTAGAGGAACGATCTCAGTTGTATGTATGAGAATTGTGAGGTTACAGGAAGTTTGTGTGTGTGTCTCAGTGTGGAGAAGTCTTTTAATGTCCCGTGTTGGAGAATATGATAGAGGTGTGTTAGTTTGTTGTCTATCCAAGGATTGGCATGAAAGGTCGGTATACAATACGGGAGGGCCGCCACTGGTGTAGCTGGTGAAAGTTTAGTTGGGGAGCAGAGTGTCGCCCTACTTTTGTCCCATATTTGTAGTTTGAGGGTGAGGAGGTCGGATGGATGTGGTAGGGTCGGGCGGTATACTTTTGGTATCCACAATATGTTAGGTAGTGTGAAGGGCTTCAGCAGGTTTCTCTCTATCTCCACCCATTGAGGGGGCTTTTTACCCATGTGGTGGGGAAGTAAGGTGGCTAGTATGGATGCATGGTAGTAGGCCTTCACATCTGGTAGTCCCAATCCACCTGACTTTTTAGGAGCTTGTAAAAGATTCCTGGCTACCCTCGGTCTAGACCCTGCCCAAATAAAGTTGTCTACCTCCTTTTGTACCAGTTTAAAAAAGGAGTGTGGGACGGGAATCGGGAGCGTTCTAAAAATATATTGCAGTTTAGGAAGTATCGACATCTTTACTGCCACTATTCTTTCAGTCCATGTTAGATAGAGAGGTGACCATTTTTTTAGTTGTAGGGCACATTCTCTCCACGTTTTAACATGGTTGCCCGTGTAGAGCTCTGTATGCTTTTTAGAGAACAATAGTCCTAGGTATGTAATGTCATATTTCCTCCAATCAAAGGGGTAGGACCCTCTGAGGGCTATCATTTCACTTTCAGGAACGCCTATGCTAAGTGCTTGAGTTTTAGAGGTGTTGAGAGAATAGTAGGATTGTGATCCATATTCGTGAATGAGGGACATGACATGGGGCAGAGACTCCATTGGTTGGGTCATATAGAGGAGGATGTCATCTGCGAAGGCACTTATCTTAACTTCTCTAGATCCGACCAGAATTCCAGTAATATTGGGGTGGGATCTAATTGCGACCAGAAGTGGTTCCAGGGCTAAAACATATAACAATGGGGACAGAGGGCATCCCTGTCTGGTCCCATTAGATAATTCGAAAGGGTCCGATAGGAACCCGGCTTGCAGAACTCTAGCTTTCGGAGCCGAGTATAGTGCGAAAATTTGTGTGATGGTCTGATGGGGGAAACCGTATTTCTCTAGAACTTGTCTCAAGAAGGCCCAGCCAAGGCGGTCAAATGCCTTCTCCGCGTCCAAGGCTAAAAGCAGACCCCCTCGGCCAGGCCTCCGGAGCTGCTCCAGGGTGTGCATCAGTTTGTATGTATTGTCCGAGCCCTGTCTCCCTCTGACGAACCCTGTTTGATCGTCACAAATCAATTCTGGCAGAAGTCCGCTCAGCCTATTTGCTATAATTTTAGCGTAGAGTTTGGCATCTGTATTGAGGAGGGAGATTGGGCGAAAGTTTTTACATTCATTTGCAGGTTTGCCAGGTTTTGGAATGGTGATAATTGTGGCCATAAGCATCTCCGGAGGGAGGGAGCCCGTTGCGGAGGCTTGTTGGTACACCCGCAACAGGTGGGGCGCTAGTGTGTCTGCAAATTTCTTATAGTAGGCATTAGTGAAACCATCAGCTCCCGGGGATTTAGCTAGAGGCAGAGATTTGATAGCTGCGCTAACTTCTGCCAAGGTTATGGGTTGTTGGAGCGTTATGGCTTGTTCTAGTGTGACTCGTGGCAAGTGTATCTGGCTAAGATATTTGGAAATGCTGTCTTCCGTTGGGTTGTTTATACCTGTCGTGAGGTGCAGGTTATATAGTTTGGCATAAAATCTTGCAAAGGCTTGCGATATGTCGCTGGGATTTAGTATTTTCTGACCCCTATCATTTATAAGATGTGCAATCTTTTGTGTGTTGCATTTGTCTCGTAATCTTGCTGCTAACAATTTAGTGGCTTTTCCGCTCTGGTGGTAGGCGGTAGCTTTTAATTTATGGAGCAGCCTCCTAGTTTTGTCTGCCGTCAAGTCTCTTAGTTTGTCATACTGCAGGGAGAGTTGTATCCCTGTTTCTACTGAGGGCTGGGTCTTATTTAAAGCAGAAAGTTGCGCTATTTTAGTGTGGCATTCCAACATTGCCGAGTCTTGGGTCCTTTTAATGTGCGAAGCTTGTTTAAGAAACAGGCCTCTAAGTACTGCCTTATGTGCGGACCAGACCGTGGCTGCCGTGGTCTCTTGAACATTGTTTAGGTTAAAGTAGGTTATAAGCTCCTCTTTAATGTTAGCGGTAAATTTCTCATCGTTTAATAGGGAGTCATTCAACCTCCAAGTGCCTTTCCCCGTGAATTGGAATTCATCCTTCAGTACCAGGGTGACCGGGCTGTGGTCTGACCACGTAATCTCCCCAATCCTGCAATCTGCTACCAGGGGCAAGGTAACTCTATCAACAAAAAACCCATCAATTCGAGAGTACGAATTATGTACCCTTGAATAAAAAGTATAATCTCTTGTTTCAGGGCTAAGAGTTCTCCATACATCATAGAGGTCATGTAATGAGAGTGTTTTGTTGATGATTTTGTGGGACTTATCGTGCGACAATCTAGTTTTGGTGCCTCCCTGGGTTGTTCTATCCAGGGGTGATTGAGTGAAGTTAAAGTCGCCGCATAGTAATAAATTGCCTAGGCGATATTGGTCTATTTTCGTTAGCAGGGACTTTAGGTATTGATTGGAGTTCTCATTGGGGAAGTAGGCCGTGACCAGTGTGTAGTGGATTGCGTTAATGAGACACTGTAGGATTATGAATCTACCTTGGGGATCTATGTATTGCCTCTGGCTGGTGAATGCGATATCTTTGTGTATTAGGATAGATACACCCTTTGTTTTGTTTACTGAGAGTGCATGGTATTGTAACGGGAAGTGTTTAGTAAAGATCTTTGGTGTATAGCCTTTCTTAAAGTGGGTCTCTTGAATACATGCAATGTCAATCTTAGTTTTTATCAATTCTTTATACAGTAAACATCTTTTCCCAGGGGTATTCAACCCCTTCACATTATACGTTACTACTCTTATGATAATCAGGGATCAGTTTTGCATATGACATCTGGTGCGTGGAGGTGAGCCGGTGTTAGCATAACAACAGCATCTTTTCCTATGTTGCAGCAATAACCATTTAGCAAATATTTCTCAAACCTAGCTACACGATCAGACCTGTCAAGTCGTACTGTACTGCTTATACGGGCTTTTGCGTCTGGTATGATATTACAGGCTGCTAAAGAAAACCTGGATAGGTCAGGGAAAGAGGGAACTAGGGAGAGAATAAACTGGGAGTGGGGAAGGGGGAATAAACCCTGAGTAAGCTCTACACAAGAGAGCTGGAGCACGCCAAGCTGATCTTGGCTGCAATGTAGGGGGTACATTAAGTGAGCCTGATGTTGTCGTGGCTCATATGTGGCTCTTAGGGCTTGGAATGGCTTAAAGAGATAGTATGCTGAGGCTTTCTCGTGCCGCAGGCATTTTTTTTTTTTTTTTAACTTGTAATACACTAAAAGTAAGAACATAGCCTTTAGTAACATTTGGTCATCAACAGTTCATAGGTCTTAGTGACTGCGCTGTGTGCCGCAGTAAGTGTTAGGCATACTTAACACTCTCTCCGCAGGAGAAGAGGCAGGTCTCGCAGAGTGGTCTTGTTCAGGCCGGGGTCCACTCAGGGGTCATCCGAGGTATCTTTGCCTTGTTATGGTCGTCTGTAGAGGCAACCGGGAGGCCCCACATCTTAAATTTTTCTTTGCCAGCCGGCAGCGAACTTACAGCGTGCAGTGAGTCCTGGTACTGGATGAGCAATTTTGCTGGGTATCCCCATCGGTACATAATTCCTTTCTCCCGTAGCGTTGTTGTGAGGGGAGTCAGGTTTTTCCGAAATTGGAGGGTTGCCGCCGACAGGTCCGTGTAGATTTTTAAGTCCTTGTAGGGATCTGGCATGCCTGGTGTGCGGGATGCTCGAACTAGCCTCTCCTTGGCATGATAAAAGTGTACACGGACTATCACGTCCCTCGCGGTGGAGTTAGGGAGGTGTTTCGGTCTTCTCAACCTATGTGCTCGGTCGATGATAAGCTGATCCGGGTGCGTCTCCGGTGACAGTGCTTGGAAGAGGTCTAACAGGTAGTCGGGAAGTGCAGGGTTGAGCACTGACTCTGGTATACCGCGGATACGCAAGTTATTGCGTCTTGATCTGTCCTCCATGTCGGCCATTTTGACCGCATGGTCGTGCAGGACGGTGTCCAATTCATGCAGCTTGTCCGCGAGACCGTTATGCGCTTCAGCGAAATCATCCATCCTCTTCTCTATCTGAGCAGTACGTTGGCTCACCTCTATAATCTCCTTCCTGAGATCTGCGGTGAGGGTTTGTATCTGCGTCGCCATGTTCTTCTGAATGGTGTCAGTAAGTTCCGACAGCATTTTTTTCAATTGCTGAGTTGTAGGCGGGCTGTCCTCCGGTCCTGTATCTGAGGACATTGGGGATAAAGGTGGATCCTCCTCGGAGCGAGCGGCACCGCCATCTGCATCTGGGCTGCGGCCTTCGCGTGTGTGTGGTGTCGCCGACTTGGCCAAGAAAAAGGAGGCGCGATCTGCCTTTGCAGCTTTATTTTTTTGCCTGTGTGACATCTCTGCAGGCTCGGGAGTGGTAGCTTAAGACTGGAATCTTGTGTGTTCTTTTTGCAGCCCGATTATTTTAGCCCTAGTTCGCCCGGTAGCAGGAGCTCCGTAAGGATGCGTCCATGCAGCTCGGTGTCAGGCCACGCCCCCCCCATCAGCAGTTTTTTAGCACCAAAAACCCAGACAGAGACCCATCTGCCTGATTGCTGGCAGTAAGAGATATCCCCCAAACAGTCCAGAATTAATTTATTTGAACTACAGTTGCGAGGCCATAGTGTATGAAGGGCCTTGCATTGCAGTGCTAACGTCTGTGTTCCACTAATGTGGTTGTTCCAGTACTAGTGTTGTGAGAAGGATAGAAACATGTCCTCTCCACACACACAGCCTGTGATACATAGGAACTATTGACTATTTGATGAAGGGAGACAATAAGGAGAGCCAGCCTCACACAACAGGAGTTAAAGGCAAGAATAAAGGTTAAGGGAGATACAAATGAAAGCATAGAGTGAGAAACTAGTGGAAGCTGTTTTTTAATGCGGCAATGGGACATGGCCTCTTTTGGGGTTATGGATAGAGCCCTGACCTGTTGGGCTCTACCCACTTAACCCCATTGGATACCATGCCCCATGTCCATATCTATGGACCTGCCTCCACTGAGAGAAGCAGTCAAGTGGGATAAAAGGAGAGAGTTAGAGGGGAATAGGACAGAATGTCACAAAAGGGAAATCAGATAAAAAGGAGAGACACAAAGGGGGTGGCTGCAAAATGGATATACAAAACTTTACAGGGATCTAACCCATAAAAGCAAGGAAAGCCTGTGTCACCCCCAGAGGCTTAGCTTTCTCGTGTGAGTTTTTAATGTTTGGATATTTATTCACAAACAGAAATCAATATAATTTAAATCCTGACTGCCTTGTATTTTTGTTACTTAGTGCATTCCAATATTCCAATAACACAGCCAAATAACAGCAATATCCAGAACTTGTTCTTCAAATGCAACAACAACCTGTAAAAAGCTCCATGGTATGATTGAAGCCAAATCCTTAATTTCACAAAGCATCAAAGTCGGTCTTTAAAGTGGCATATCACTTATATGTATTTCATACAGATATGTTATTTAGACTGCTCCTAGTACCATCCAATGTAGCACGGCCCCTATAGTGCCATTCAATGTAGCATGGCCCCTTTAGTACCATCCAATGTAGCACGGCCCCTATAGTACCATTCAATGTAGCATAGCCCCTTTAGTACCATCCAATGTAGCACGGCCCCTCTAGTACCATTCAATGTAGCATGGCCCCTTTAGTACCATTCAATGTAGCACGGCCCCTCTAGTACCATTCAATGTAGCATTGCCCCTCTAGTACCATCCAATGTAGCACGGCCCCTATAGTACCATTCAATGCAGCATGGCCCCTTTAGTACCATCCAATGTAGCACGGCCCCTCTAGTACCATTCAATGTAGCATGGCCCCATTAGTACCATCCAATGTAGCATAGCCCCTTTAGTACCATTCAATGTAGCATGGCCCCTTTAGTACCATCCAATGTAGCATAGCCCCTTTAGTACCATTCAATGTAGCATGGCCCCATTAGTGCCATCCAATGTAGCATAGCCCCTTTAGTACCATTCAATGTAGCATAGCCCCTTTAGTACCATCCAATGTAGCATAGCCCCTTTAGTACCATCCAATGTAGCACGGCCCCTTTAGTACCATCCAATGTAGCATAGCCCCTTTAGTACCATCCAATGTAGCACGGCCCCTATAGTACCATTCAATGTAGCATAGCCCCTTTAGTACCATCCAATGTAGCACGGCCCCTATAGTACCATTCAATGCAGCATGGCCCCTTTAGTACCATTCAATGTAGCACGTCCCCTTTAGTACCATTCAATGTAGCACGTCCCCTTTAGTACCATTCAATGTAGCACGGCCCCTTTAGTACCAAATGTAGCACGGCCCCTATAGTACCATTCAATGTAGCAGCATAGGCCATGGCCCCTTTAGTACCATTCAATGTAGCACGTCCCCTTTAGTACCATTCAATGTAGCATAGCCCCTTTAGTACCATCCAATGTAGCACGGCCCCTATAGTACCATTCAATGTAGCATAGCCCCTTTAGTACCATCCAATGTAGCACGGCCCCTATAGTACCATTCAATGCAGCATGGCCCCTTTAGTACCATTCAATGTAGCACGTCCCCTTTAGTACCATTCAATGTAGCATGTCCCCTTTAGTACCATTCAATGTAGCACGGCCCCTCTGGTACCATTCAATGTAGCACGGCCCCTTTAGTACCATTCAATGTAGCATGGCCCCTTTAGTACCATTCAATGTAGCATGGCCCCTATAGTACCATTCAATGCAGCACGGCCCCTTTAGTACCATCCAATGTAGCACGGCCCCTTTAGTACCATTCAATGTAGCATGGCCCCTTTAGTACCATCCAATGTAGCACGGCCCCTTTAGTACCATTCAATGTAGCATGGCCCCTTTAGTACCATTCAATGTAGCATAGCCCCTTTAGTACCATCCAATGTAGCACGGCCCCTATAGTACCATTCAATGCAGCACGGCCCCTTTAGTACCATCCAATGTAGCACGGCCCCTCTAGTACCATTCAATGTAGCATGGCCCCATTAGTACCATCCAATGTAGCACAGCCCCTCTAGTACCATTCAATGTAGCACGGCCCCTATAGTACCATTCAATGCAGCACGGCCCCTTTAAGCATGGCCCTTTTGGATTATTAAATTGCCCCCACATCTATGTGGGAGGCTTTTCAAACACTGTACCAGCACAATATGACCATCTGGAAATACCCATTACTACTGCCACCCTCAAAAGCTGGCAGAAGCTACTTGTATTAGCAGCGAATGCTATTTGATATATTCTATCCTCAATATCGCTGGAGAAGTTAGTTTGGCAAAGTAGTGGTCCTTAGTTCCACGAGAACCAGCTCTTTCTCCAGACTAACTTGAACAACAAGTCATTGTGTCATTGTGTTCTTATTGGACCCTTCGCGATGGTACAAATAATATCATATAACAAGTGCCCATTGTAACGGCACCCCCAGGCATAAAAAGAGGTTAAAAGCCATTTAGTAGATCTTCCCTTCCAGAGACACAGGCACAGCTACTGTAGACACCAATCCACCGAACCGGAGAAGCATATGAATGCTGTAAACAGCCGAACTGGAACCATACGAATGCTGTAAACAGCCGAATAGGAAAAACCATACGAATAGGTTTACACTCCTAGCAGTCAAACTGGAACAGCATACAATAAATCCCCCCAAGAACGAGGCAAGGGTCCGTTTTGGGGGTCAAGCAGGAACAGACAGAGATGTGAGTTTATTGCTCTTATGTACACATTCTTACACATTAGTACCACCCACAGGGTTTTGGAAAACAACCAATAAACACATACAATACACTCAGACACTCCCACACAAAATCCTCCCCTCTGCCTGTGATACAATTACCTTACACAATGGATAATGTAATTATCACAGCCAGAGAAATACAGTTTTTCCACATTATTCATAACTTGAAAAGTATGCATCACATTCAGAGAATCAGCATACTCCAAATACAAACATATGTCAAAATCATCCAAATTGGTCCATTGGTTCAAAAGATAGATCGAAGTCCTTTGTGACCAAATGAAGCATGGCTTTTCTGCCCCAAACCAGTTCCACAGAGTCTTCTATCCTGGAGATAATTGGGAAGTAATCCAATTATCTCCAAGGACAGAGGCAAAACTTAATTGAACACATGGCAGCAAAAGACAATAAAACACATAAAAATATATAACTGTGCAGCCATTGCACAAAACAGGTACATTCAACATATCCCCAGATAGCTCAGATCTGAGCGCACATTATTACTGAATGGCGCTCAGAGAACACACATATAGTTTAATTTCCATGGAGCCAAAGTCTTTCCCATAGTCTTTCATTATACGAATGGGCTCCATGGCATAGCTCTCTGGGGTATCACCACTCAAACAGGGCAAGCACCGAATGACCCGGATTTCGTGTCTTTGCAGGGGAAAATCAAGCGTTTCAACATGGGGCCATAGTGTAAAGGCAGCAGGCGGGCAACCAGGCTCCTCCAATGCACAGTGGCGAGATTGGTCTCGTCACACCCATAAACACACAACATGACTGATAAGCATTTGCTTGGCTGAGAGAGTGTTGATAAAATTCTAACACTCTATGCTTTCTAGGACTGATCACAGCAGAGACCTTTATTTACATGTATTATACCCAATATAGCTAAATAGTCTGTTTTGCTCTTGCCATGCCACTGGCTTGGTTTGATAAAATCTAAACTGTAGTTCAGAAGGTTGCTCAGTATTACTTAGCTATCACACTAGTTTTCTCTCCCCATCAACTTTATTCTACAATTAGTTTTTTGTTGTTTTTTTCCAAACTCACAGAACCAACCTTCTTGCATGAATGTTATTGGATCTCTGGGACATATACCGCTCACATTTCATCACGTCACTTTCATATTTGTAATGTCTGACTTTTACTGTATTGCACTTCCTCCATAGTACACACCGATCCTCCTGTTTATACAAGATATCCTGTTATTATGAAGTTAGCATTTTCTTGATTTTGCACAATGTACATTATATGGCCTCACATAGCCTATGTCTATCATGTCCACTTTTGCACAAAACATAGTTTGACACCTGCTTTAGCTTTTGCACTCTTTACCCAAGCACTTGACCATTTCCTTAAAGGACCACTATGTGAGAAGCACGCAAGCGCCTCTAGTGGCTGTCAATGAGACAGCTGCTAGAGGCTTTGGGGGAAGGCTTAACCCATTAATAAAC